GGGATTTTTGAAATGTGTAACAAACAATACACACGGGCGTCCGATCTCACTACCCAGAGACCAGGGGAGATTACTAGAAGTCCACGTGAAAAATTCCAGCCTTCACCAGGGTTTGAACCCAGGACCTCCAGCACTCAACGCCATGCCACGAGACCACTCAGCCCTTCGATTACAGCATACAAGTATTTACACAGCAACAGAGGACATATTTAACAGATCTGATATTTTAAATAATTTAAAGACTGGGGAGGGGGAGGACGTCATTCTCATTCTCAGCATATCGTCTCCAGCACTTACTCTTAAAAGGACTGTTGGCACATTGTGTTGTGATTTAAATCTAGGCTGTGATATCTGTGCTTTTTCAGCTCAACACATCTGATTTTAGCAAACCCCGAATGAGTCACCTTTTATGACATGCTTGTTAAGTGACCCCAAAACAGTGGGTCTATACCACCCCCGCCCCAAACAGAACCCAGGTGAATGAATATACAAATATCACTAAACAAAAGTAAAAACATCAGAATTACCTGTTGTGCATGTTGTTGATGGCATTGTTGATAGCGTTGGGGTCTGTGGGAACCAACCCGTCGACTCTGTACACTACATTTTCTTTATGGTTGACCGCACTGCTTACAGACAAGTTATTTCTAGGGGCTGTGCCATATGCCGCCGATTTCATCGGCGGCACCGCCCCGTTTTTTTGGTTCTGTTTATTATCTTTGCTAACTGGGTTGTTGCGGCGCTCTACACTGTTGCGAGAGTCCTGGTTGTTCATGCGACGGTTGTTCTGCCGATCGCTGAACGGCCGCTGATTAGAGATAGCCCTCTTCATGGCTGAGCTCTCTCTCTTGTTTTCCCAGGACTCTCGCAAATCGTTTTTTGGCTCACTGCTTTCTGATGCTGTCTCCCATTCTTCCCCTTCATTTGAAGCCTGCTTTGTCAGCACCGGTTTTTTGGCAGTGACATTCGATGACGCACTGTTCCCTCCTCCTCTAGATGGCCTGGTTCGCCCATCACTTGCTCTGTCACCACCTATTCCTCGGCCATCAGCTGTGCCAGTGCCCCGTCTGAAGCGAGGTGGTGGTGGGTTTCTGTTGTCTTGTCTGCGCCCATCCCTCCTGAAATGCATCAAAAATAATTTCACTGCAACTGGTGGTGTTTCTTAAAAGCTGCAGATTACTTGTTAATTAATCTTTACAGATAGCTGCGGTATTATTTGTTAATAATTACAGATATTTTAAATACATTTTTTTTTTTTAAGAAATGACTAAGAAGAATTTGATGAATATAAAAGGCCAAACAAGACAACACAAGAAGGACTGGAGAATAAAACAAAATGTTTATCGCTGGTAAATGTTGTCAATGAAAGACGGATATGACATTTTTGTAGATACCTCAATCCACTCTGGAAAGGACATTCTCAAGTGTAAAGTCAACACAGAAAAGAGACATGGATGACCACAAGACATCCAGAAAGGAAAATAAAGGAATGTGAACTGACAAAGAGTACAACAGGCCACAAATCAGCAGACAGGCAGCACTAGAGACCATTTGTGAATGCTTTGCGTTGAGAAGGCCCCAATGACAGACTGCTGAAAATGGTTTAAAACAAAACGCTCTGTAAATCATATGGGTTCCCTGGCCCCTCAGGAGACCGGGGGAGGGGGGGGGGGGGTGTAGATACACTGATTCCTAACAAGTATGCCAAAAAATGTTAATAACTAGGGGGATTCCCTAACAGGCGGGGAAAACAGTCTGCAAAATAGATAAACCAGATGATCTGTAGAGGGTATGTGCATGCAAAACTCAAGTTCTAGAAAGAGGACGAACAACCAGAACTTCCCACCGAATGTGAATAAGAAACAAATTCTACTTTATAACATAAACCACAAGATTACCTGAAACCATCTATGTGACCGTCCCTGTTCTCTCGGTTATCTCCGCCTCTGTCCATGTTGTGCTGGCGGCCACCCTGACGCCCAACAGCTCCAGGTCCACTTGGTTCCCCATTTGCTCCTCTGCTGATATAATCTTGACCACTGCCTCCACGATTAGAAGGGTAGCGATTACTTCCTCGATTATTTCGTGACCCACCTGCAAAAAGTGTCATAAATTATTTATAAGGAGGCAATTTTTTTATTCAAAGAAAAGAATGCCGACCATACATTTTCTCTTAACAGTACATTTAAGGCAGTGGTTCCAGTCTGTCTCACTTTCCAAGATTTTTCAAGGATGTAATGGATTTTTTTTTTTTTTTATATTCCTAATGAAGAACTTTTATAATTTATAAATATCAGAATCGCAAAAAACAAGGACTGCATTCTAAGCAGTTGTTTAACTCATTGGACCCCAAAGTGTTCAGCTGAAAAGAAGTAACTAATCAGTTCAGCATGGACACTATGAGACTCCAGAAATTAAATAATCTAGACAACTAGGACCTATTTGTGACAGAAGACAGATGGTAAATTAAAATAATCTTTGGAATGATCCATTAACATTCAGTCAAACTGAAAAAGATGTTTTAAAATAATCTTTTTAGCTGTATACACTTTCAGTAGGTTATAGTATACTGCTATCTGAATATCCAACTACAGTCAATACAATTTTTACTAACAAAATTACAATGGTAAAGACAATGCATGTACGTTATTAAATATTTAAAATGAGACATATAAACATTATTACAAAAATTGGTCACTACTTAAAGATGTGCAAATTGAGAATTTATCAAAGTCTTACATGAAATGGAAATTGTTTTACGTGACAAAATGTCACGGTGCGAACAAAAGACAAGAATTCATGAACTTAGCATGTAAGAAATTTTAGGTAAAACGGATGTACATACAAAATTCAAGTTCTGCAACAAGACCATAGTCCAGAACTTGACGAATAACCAAACTACAACTCAACTTTCCGCCAGAGTTTACAGCTGGTTAATGTGAAGAAGAAGAAATCTAATAAAATATTACTTCTGATAAAGAAAGATTTGATGAAGAGATGCTGAATACGCACGCACGCACGCGCACACACACAACTTACCTCGACCACGCCGTGATGGTTCTCCTCTTGGGAAAAACACGCCATTCTGTTCATCCTGTTGACCATCATGCTGGTCTCGGTCAACTCTCTTATTTTCTCTGTATCTATCTCTGTCCCTTCTGTCCTTGTGCTCTCCATCAAAGTTATCACTGCGGATGCGATCTCTATCCCCACGGCGACCACCACCACCGTCTCTATCCTGCCGGCGGTAATGATCTCTGTCATCCCTGTGGCTTCCTCCGTGGTGTTTATCCAACTGGTCAGAAGTGTGGTTCTCTCCAGATGCTTTCCCAACACCAGACTCCCTGGCATCTTGATTCTGCCACACATCAACTTTCAACATCCTTTCTTCCTTCTGAGCAGAATCATTAGGAGCCCATTCTGATTTCGGTGGATCTGGTAGCAGCGGTCGGTTTTTAGTCCAGGCATTCTGAGGAGCAGACGTGCCTTGATGTGGTTTTTGATCTTGATTCCATGCACCTTTATGTTCTCTGTTAGGTTTCATATCCCTGCCCTGGTCATGACCATGGCTGCGTTCCCCTGAATTGGTGCCTCTCTGCACTTGAAGACGGCCCTCTTTAGCCTCTCTTGGATTCTGGTCTTTGTCAGCTTCATTTTCCTTCGCAGGTTTATCATTAACAGCTGACTCGCTATAAGCCCGATGAGCTTCATCTGCAGATGCATCGCTCTGGTTATGCCTGTGTCGAGATGGGACATTGTCATAATCCTGACCGTCTTCGGCATCATCAGACTTTTGCGACGGCCTCAAAGGCTGCCTGTCGGATCTTCCTGATCCCTGACCACTCCTGTCGTAACTTGAGGAGGAATAGTAATCTCTGCCTCTGCCACCCCGTGAGCCGTAAGCACCTCGTAGCGACCCTCTACCTCTTCCCCTTGATGCACCCCTGCCTCGGACAAACTCTCTGCCTCCTCTCATTGGCATGCTTCGAGGTCTTTCACTTCTATCACCATATCTGTCATGATCCCTGTCGTGGCGGTCTCGATCCAGATGTCGGTCTCTCCTTTCCCTTCCTGGATCATCCTCTCGTTTCTTTTTCAAAGGAGGTAAATTACTTTGTGGACTATCAACTCTCTCCTCAAACGGCTGTGGCCTTTCATCCTCCTCTTTGGGATGTGCAGCAACATCAGGTTTCTCCTTTTCTTTGCTTGGTTTTTGTCTGCAAAATGCATAAAAATTAATTAACATTTTTACCAGTCCTTCTCTTTCTACTCTGCATGGGTAGTTTACTATTCTGCGTACAGAAAATACCAGTGCTGGATGAGATAATTATGAAACTAAACAATTAAAAACTATTACATAAATTTCAACAGTACCATCATCAACTCCATTCACCCTGGGTAAGTTGGTTGTGTTGTGGTTGTTTGTATTAAACTTTCTTTGCATACTTCCTTCCCCTTGAGGCTCACCGGCTGTAAACTCTGGCAGAAAGGTCTCATTCACCTACTCCTTAGGGCACTCTTACCCAGCACTACTCCACTACTGTTCACTACCTCAATGGTCAGAGAATATGAGACCATGGTAACAGGGCTATTAAACTGGCCCCCGGAGGCCTAGCAAGTGGTCAGCGGATCAATGCCAGATGTTCTGTATTAATGAGCTTATGCTGTGTCTATGCTATGACTCAGGCCTCTGGTCTACGGTGTTCCCATTTCCAACATCTGGCCCCTGATAAACTTAGATGAATAGCTGTTCGTGGCGTATAAGACGGAAAGGACATGGGGTAACTGACCAATACCAAGGCTTACCAAGGAAAAGACAGTTTAACTTAGGGACAATCGCCTATACCCTCTTGAGGATAAAGAGTACCAAGATTCTTCAGACTCTGACTGGTTAGATGTAGCACAATGCACTGATGAGTTCCTACCCTTGCCCCATTATGTTGATCTGCTGTTTAAACCTAAACCTAAACAGCAGAATGCTCACAATAAAGAAAGCTAACCTGTCCTGCTCCTTGATTTCCCAAGCATTTGGGCGTGGCGGCTCAGGTGGTATGTTTTCTTTGCTATGTGGTGGTGTCTTAGTCTCCTTAGGTGGCTCCTGAAAGAAATGTTTTGTATAATCACTTTTAGCAGATAAGATCTCAGAGCAGACAGGAGCATATCTGTTCAATCATCAATGCCCTCATTTATCTCTCCATCCATGTAACAGACAACACAAATGCAATTAAAACAAGATCTTCAAGTGCCTTGTGGATTTAAGCTAGGCCGTGATATATGTACCCTTAGGCCTAACATGTAGCATTTCAGCAAATCTCTACTGAAAATTTGATCATATGCTTCCCTACTTTTATCCCGTGCAGTGGGTCTATTCACATCCCCCAAAGAAAACTGGGTCTTGGAACCCACACTGGGAAATTGGGAAATAAGGTTTCAATCTATGATGAGCTAAACAGTATGAATGACAGTAACTTAACTAATAGACATCAATAAGGTATTTATATATCATTGTTCGTATTAGCTGGGCAGAAGAATAAATGCTGCTTAGCAAAATGGTTTTCAAACAATGAACCGACTGAGCTTGGGTTTCAGGAAAGTTCTTGCCTAACCAAGGAATGAAACATTTGAGTTTAGGTATGCGAGGGGAGCATACCAGCTGACTGAGCACAGTCTATGTGGACAGCCTTAAAGAACATAAGAAATAACAACAACAATGCACTGAGGACATTCTTTTACATCCTCTCCCTCTCTCTCACGTCTGTGTACATGTGCAGATTTCCGCATGCATGCTTGCGCGCATACACTCGTGCGCACACACACAAACGCGCGCGCGTGTATAAAATTACTCTAACAACATGCAAATCATAAAAGGGCAGCTAATTAGGTGTGATTCCTTTCAAGTCGGAATGCATCTGCCAGAAAGGCGAGACACCCTACACCGCAGGTGTGCCTGCAGAAATCCGATTAAAAGTTAACCTTTTCTCCTGTGTCGACAGCTTTCTGACTGACTAATGCAATGACTTTCTTCCTATGGACTCGGTGACATTGCAGTGGGCTGGGACTAAGGTTGTCACAGTACACAATAACAATGACCAAACTATACGAGTCAACAGACTATCTGGAACACAAGACGTTAACATAAAATGTTTAATATCCATTTCAGGCTGCATCGTCTCTGTTGTATACTCTGTTGCGGGGGTCTAAGTTATGACTGGCAAGCACTCAGCCCAACTGCATCTCTCACACTTAACTACTTCATTCTACTCACAACCTTAGTTCTGATGATCGCTTGCAATTTCCACCTACAATATTTACTCAGAACAGCAGGCGATCACGAAGCTGGCATCCCTCTTGACATGTACACACAACCAGATCTTCCCAGCATCAGCAGGTTGCTTAGATAGTTTTGATCTTTAGAAGCACATGCATTCACTCTTCGTGCTTCCTCTTCCAGCTCCAATCAGGCTGAATTCAGGTTATGTCAACCTAAGCCTCATGCACAACTTGCCTGCATAATTCTACCATTACTCACTTATTCGTTCTATAAAAACTGTGCTGAACTCGCGGTTATCCATCGTGGCTTATGCTTATCTAAACTCTGCCCCAAATACTAAGCAGGGGTTTATCTTCCAAATAATAAAATTTATATTGTTAAATTAAACATAGATTATTACACTAACCTAATGATGGAAGTAACCTGACCAATGAGACCAAAACTGATTTTTGACTTACTTTAACTGTATCTTTCTTAGGTACTTGGTTCCTCTCAAAGACAAGGCTCTCTTTAGGTGGGTCGCTTTTGATCTCTCTTTCCTTTTCCTTGTCAGAAGAAGCAGCTGAGCTGCTAGACATGTTAGAAGCACTGCGTTTCAGTGATGTCAGGCTGTTCTTGGGCATGCCAGGTTGCTTGTTCTGCTCACTTGCTACAGGTGGAGGAGGACAGCTGGTTAAAGCGTCTGTCACCTCTGAAAAATAATGAACATGTTTTATTTATTTTTTTAAATAACTGCCAGTCTCTCTTTTCTCTCTCGTTACGTCCTCCTTTTATCGCTTAAAGTGTTGAGGGAGATACAAGGTCCTGTTACTGACAGTCACCGAGATTACTTGTCAGTAACACATTTCAAACTTAAAATACATATTGTCAAAAATCAGTAACACCTGTTATATTCAAAGCAATGCAGTCTGCTGCCTAGTCGCCTGCAGCTGAATCTAACCAGGTATTTAGGAATGATAAATCTGACTTTTGAAACCCCTAAGCTATATTTTCTTGTTTTCCTGTTTCTTCATGCTCTATAACTCCAACAGAAAGTTCTGATTGTCGGTCCATTACTGGACTTCAGTCTTGTTCTAAAACTGAAGTTTTGAGTGCATATATGGTTTACAGATTAGACTTAAGTATGCAGACTATAGGTTCCTTGCCTCTCAAGAAGATATACTCAAACAAAACGAATAATTAGTCAATTCTTAGGGCATGCTTGTTAGGAAAACAGAGGGTCTATTTATTTGTTCCCTGCAATGACAACCAGAACCTGCAATGGCAAACCAGAACCCGCAATGGCAACCAGAACCCGCAATGGCAACCAGAACCCGCAATGGCAACCAGAACCCGCAATGGCAACCAGAACCCGCAATGGCAACCAGAACCCGCAATGGCAACCAGAACCCGCAATGGCAACCAGAACCCACAATGGCAACCAGAACCCACAATGGCAACCAGTACCCACAATGGCAACCAGTACCCACAATGGCAACCAGAACCCACAATGGCAACCAGAACCCACAATGGCAACCAGAACCCACAATGGAAACCAGAACCCACAATGGCAACCAGAACCCACAATGACAACCAGAACCCACAATGGCAACAAAAACCCACAACGGCAACAAGAACCCACAACGGCAACCAGTACCCACAATGGCAACCAGTACCCACAATGGCAACCAGAACCCGCAATGGCAACCAGAACCCACAATGGCAACCAGTACCCACAATGGCAACCAGAACCCACAACGGCAACCAGAACCTACAACGGCAACCAGTACCCACAACGGCAACCAGAACCCACAACGGCAACCAGAACCCACAATGGCAACAATAGCAACCAGAACCCACAATGGCAACAATGGCAACCAGAACCCACAATGTCAACAATGGCAACCAGTACCCACAATGGCAACAAGAACCCACAATGGCAACCAGTACCCACAATGGCAACCAGCACCCACAATGGCAACCAGCACCCACAATGGCAACCAGAACCCACAATGGCAACCAGTACCCACAATGGCAACCAGTACCAACAATGGCAACCAGAACATGCAATGGCAACCAGTACCCACAATGGCAAACAGTACCCACAATGGCAACCAGTACCCACAATGGCAATCTGAACCCACATGGGGAAGAGTGATATTTAAACAGCCCAATTTTTCAAGGAATTTCTGAAATACAGGCCCCATTGGCTTTTCTCCCTAGGTCACCAAAGGAAAGAGTTGAAATAAAGAAGATGTCACGTCAAGTGACATCTAGAAATGGATGTGAATGAAGTCAGGCAAATACTCACTTTGTGAAGCCTCTCTCTGTTTAACCTCTTCGCATGTGAAAGTTCTGAATTTAGGAGTTGGTCCCTGGCGCCCGTCTCGCCTGTAACCCCTTGTATACTGCTCCTGCGTCTCCTCTTGATCTGGCTCATCTTTTTCATGCTTTGAATTCAGGTGATCGTCCTCATCACCATACGGGTCTCCTGCCTCCTCTTTGTTGGACTCTTTGGAGTAGGTCCTGCTGCAAAGCAAAATTATATGGTTTATTTAATTCACCTGAGAAGCCATACTGCTATTATCATGGACCAGCAGGACTTTTACAGAACACTGCTCTCTTCATGGCATGTCTGAAGGTCTTTCTCTTTCTAGCCAACTCTCCAGCTCTTTTATAGCCTATGCCTCTGTAACCTTCTGCATCCACCTTGGTGAAGGTCGTCGTCTGGTCTGCTTCATTAGGTACAGTGGACTTCCAACACCTTATGTCTCTTGTAATTGTCCACTCTGACACTGCTGTTTGTCTATTTCTTGATGCTCTCATCCAACATGTGTAGGCAAAAAGTAGAAAATTACTGCAGACAAAGTGACAGCTGAGCATCTGAGAAGAAACACATTACTGCACAGACATGCAATGGCAACTGTCACTACTCTCTGTCTGTACCACTTTTTAGGTTGGTGCAGACAGGGAGTCATCAGGCTGAGGATTTAGGGCCGCACAGCTAGAGCTGTCGCCACGGACTGTAAAGGTTAGGATATTTTATTTTGCTTTTGACAGAAAAACTGCAAGGCAACAGCAGTCCCAAAATGCCATGAACTAACTGTAGAAGACATTTCTTAACAGCAGGTCCTGCAAGCCACACTGGCCATGGGCTGTGATTCGCATGCCTACAGTACCAACATCCAAGGTATCACTCCTTTTCTATTACATGCTTGTCTTTTTGTTGTTGTTGCTCACAAATGGTTTTTCCCAAACAGAAGTATTAAATTTTTTCATATGGCAGAAACATTGGATTTGTCTCTATCACCTTCGGCAACTCTCTTTTCCTTACCAGTCTTCTACGAACCTCTGTATTTGATGGTTCTGTTTGTATGAGATTTATCCTAGGTTAGAGAAGATCCTAGCATCATGATACACTTTTGGCCAATAAAAACTTTGACTATAGCTTTGCAACACTAGATGAACAAAGGTGGAGCTGTGGGAGGTGGTAATTGTTCCTCCTCAACTGGGAACCCAAACCCTAACCACTATACCAGAGCTATTTAACTGGCAGCAAGCGGGCCAAATCTGGCCTGCAGAGGCCTAGCAAGTGGCTCCCGGATTACTGCCAGTTGTATTGTGTTAATGATCTTTCAATGCCGAGGCTAGAACTTCTGGCCTTTGACGATCTTTATTTTCAAAATGTTGGCCCCTGAATAAACTTAGCTGAACAGCCCTACACCATAACAAAGTGCATCTACGTTACCAAGATCTTATCAGAAACGCCCCAAAAAAAAAAAAAATTATGTAATCTTCCAAGTGTGGCATAAGAGACAAATAAGCAATTCTGGCATGGTAATGGCTACCTTATCTCACAGAAAAACTCAGCCACACAATACTGTAAACTGGGATCAACTCTTTATATAGAAGGACTAGGCATAAGATACTCCAGATAGAAGATGCAGATACAAAGATGCTTACGTCAGATCCCAGTCAGTAGAGGCTTTACTGCTGCTGCGGTCAGACTTGTGGTCGTCCTTGTCAGAGATTTTACTTCTATCTTCAAACAGATCTTGCTGAAGTACAATGGGCCTTTGCTCTATCTCTTTATGTGGCTTGACCCCTTCAGAAACATGCTTGTCTTCATCACGATCGCGGCGCTCCAGTTCCCTTTAAACCACATTCAAACTGATGAGTGTACACTAAATTAGTAACAACATGCAGAAATCATCTATCAGCACTAGTTAATTCACAAATTAAAGTAAACCCTTTTTTATGCCTTTGGCGTGTCTGTCAAAATGTGCTAGGGACAGTTAAACTGATAAGTTTATGAGGATCAATCGTTATCGAATTCAATATTATATTCATCTATCGTCGTCCTCAGTACATTTGTCTTCACATAGCAATTCTTTGGCTCTGACAAAAAGTTTATTTTTAAAAAGAGAACTTGACATCCTAGTCAAGGTTCGTCATAAATCTTTTCCAGATGTTTCTGAATCATGAATACCACCTCATGCACGGAATAAACACTGATCCTCATAAATGTCACTGTTTCAAGAGCACTTGCCCTGAGTTTTAAACATAAACAATATTGGATCTATACTGCATCAGTAAAAGTGTAACTTTCCCTAGCTAAATAAAATAGCAGGTCACTTATCAGCTGATGACGTGGTGTTATAATTTTGCAAGATCTCAGAAGAAGGGTGCCTGTTTAAATGACATTTTGCTTCAAGGGTGGCTTTTTTGTTTTAGCCATTACAAAATCTCTCTCATTTAATTCTGACAGTGTATATCACAAGGTTAACTTATATCTTACCATGGTTATCAGTTTTATTTTTCTGGTCTCATTATTCAACTATACGTTGACAAAACATTTTTGCATGTTAAAATAAGCAAAATGATGACTACAAATGTTTAACATTACCATATCCGTAATTTTAAAACCAAAATGACAACATCCGCAAAAACTAACCTTCTTTCAAACTCAAATCCCTGATAAACTCTTTGCTCATAGTAGGACAACCTTCTTATGTCATCAAACTGACCTAAAAGAACAATCAGAAATTCAATGTGTAAATTAATCTAGAACACAAAGAATACAGATAAAACCAAATCTACATAGAGACCGGCAATGATATAAACTGTACGTTTAAAACCCTAATATGCATTTACTTAAATGCTTGATGATATAGGACTGCTCTTTGGCATACAAGTTTAAATCTTAAGGTTTTCTTAAATTTGATGTGGTCAAATTTTTTTAGAACAATTCTTCTTCTCAAGTTAACCGGCTATAAACCTCTGGTTGTTGTTCACTTCTGGACTTTTGTTTCAGAACTTGAGTTTTGAGTGCAAAAACGTTTCACAGATCTGATTCACTTGCATGCAGACTGGTGGTTCCTCACCCCTCAGACAGATGCACGCCACCTTCCAAGAAAATACCCTCTAGTTAGTCAATTTTTACGACATGCTTGTTTTTAGATACATAAAGCCATGCTTCCACTAAAAAATAATCATGTTTTGAAACATTTAAAGTTATAAATTAAAGAAAAGCTTATGGTGGTGGAATCCACTGAATTATGACTAAGAAGTCCAAACAAAACCATGGTAGGGGAACGCAGTACAGATAAAAAAAAAAAGGATGTTTTATCCTAAGTTTTTCTCAACATAAACCACAAGGGGCAGATTATCTAGGCTGAGATTATCTGCCCCTTGCTTGATTGCAGTCACCTCTGTTTTCATCACTACTAAGTTGGAACACTGGTAAAAACCAAACAAAAATAAAGATAAAGGCTGTGCACAGATATCATTATGATAGGAGACATTCACATAAGCCATGCAACTAGCAAAAGACAGCAAACTACATCTTACTCCCCTCTGTGGCGCTTTATGGCAACAGCAGTAGCACAAATGAAGGTAAAAGTGGGAGGATTTACTTATTCCATATAGCTCAGTTTCTCTCCACAGAACAGCTAGCTGCCTGCCAAGAGAGCCGCACACAGCACGACCTTCGTAGCTCAGGCAATGATCCCCAGGGATCTGCCTAAAATTGCACTCGTGAACTAAACAGCGTTACTGTGAATTGAGCCCACGACCTTCAGAGCGCAAGGCAAAGGGCTTGACCACTTCGCCATGGAGACCCCTACGATAAAAGAACAAAACTTACCAGGATGAGATGGTGGTGGTGGTGGAGCATAGCCTCTTTCCAACCACACAGCCCGAGGATCCGTACGTGGATCAGGTCTGTCGTACGGTTCAACTATCCTGGAGTCAGGGTCCGGAGCTTCACTGCCCGAACCATGGCTGTCATTACGTCGCCTGGTCATTGAAGGCACGTACATAGGCATGCCTGCAAATGTGTACATTCATAATTTTGTATTAAATCAGGCAGAACACTTATGATATCAGCCAAGTAACATTAATTTATCCAGCCACATTTAAAACTCAACTTTTGCTACAAAATTTGTTACATTAATTTATGCAGCCACAGTTAACACTCAACTTCTGCTACACCAGCGGTTCTCAACCTATAGGTCGGGACCCTTTTGTGGTCGAACGACCCTTTCACAGAGGTTGCCTAAGACCATTGGAAAACACATGTTCACTGAAGTTACCAAGTAGCAACGAAAATTTTATGGTTGGGGGTCACCACAACATAAGGAACTGTATTAAACAGTTGCGGTATTAGGAAGGTTGAGAACTACTGTGTCACAACAATTATACTTCTCTTTCTTCCACCCTTTATCCCCAGTAACGCACAGGACCTATAAATAATTCCTCTGTACCGCTTCAGACCTCTTCCAGATGAAAAGCATTTTCTTCTTTGCCTAACTGATTTGTCTGTATTTAGACCTGTTCATGATTATTGTGTGCTGGAGGTAGTTTGCCACTGTTTATTCTTCACAACAAATGACCATATCCATTGTTGACTGGGTAACCAGACCATGACCAATAAATCAGACAGGAACACTGACCTGATCTGTTACTCTGATGACCTTGTGAGATGGCAAAATATGACAATATGACAGCCTATGCTTGCCAACAGGGCACATATCATTTTGTAATTTACAGATTCATAATTTCTGGGCATTATTATTCACACCAAAAATCCAATACATGGCGTAATATTTTCTAGAATGCATGAAAGCTAGAATGAAATGAAAGTCTACAAACCTTGCATGTCAAGAGGTGGTCGCGGTCCATATCGCGGATCCATGTGAAAATGTGCAGGCATCCCTGGCCAACCTCGGGGATCATAGGGTCCCCACGGTGGGGGCGGTCCTTGCCCTGGTCTAAATCCCTGTGGTATGGGAGGTCCCGCAGGAGGATGTCCAGGTGAGACACTACCTCCAGGGCTGGGAGGCTGCTGCTGCTGTTGCCTTTGACCCTGCCCCTGTGCTGACTCCTGCTGTTTCTGAAACCTGGGCGGCACATTCCGTGCAAAGGTTTTTATGTTCCCTTGGTCATTCTGTCAGAAATACAAAACTTCAATTAACATACTTCAATTAACTCTAATAACACTGTAGGAATGAAAACGTTTAGACTTCATAACAAATAACAGTATTTTAGCATTGTAAAGAATGAATCACACTGTAGAAATAATAATGTTATGACTTCCTAATAAATTACAGTATTTTTAGTGTTGTAAAGAATTAATCATACTGTAGGAATGAGAAAATTATGGCTTCTTAATAAATCACAGTATTTTTAGTGTTGTAAAGAATTAATCATACTGTAGGAATAATAATGTTATGGCTTTTTAATAAATCGCAGTTTTTTTAGTGTTGTAAAGAATTAATCATACTGTAGGAATGAGAAAATTATGACTTCTTAATAAATCAGTGGGGGTTGTTTTTTAGTGTTGTAAAGAAGTAATCACACTGTAGGAATGAAAGTTATGACTTCTTAATAAATCAGTATTTTTGGAGTTGTAAATGAAATTTCTGCAAGTGTAACATGAGCTGAGAAACTATAAGGGCAGAGAAAAATGTGGTTTCTGAGAAAAATCAAAGAATACCATGGATGGACTTAAAAACAAATAGGGTAGTCTTTCAAGAAACAGATGACAAATGTCCCTTTACAGTTTGAAGGAATGAATTTACAATTCTGTCACCAATTTACTAATTACATCTATGTTAAGAACATTATAACAGACCACATATTTAATCTTAGTGGTTAGGAAAAAAAATTATTTTATTAAACAAACTGTTATACAAGTTCACAGACCGCATTCATTATCACATGAAATTAAGGGGGGAAATCAAAATAGTTCTAGCAAATCAGTTGTTCCTTGCTGTTCCAGCAGATGCACTCCAACTTTGAAGGAAGTCCCCAATTAGTAGACTCCTATGACATGCTTGTTGGGAAGGCAGTATGCCCATTCTTGTTTTCCTCGCAATAGGGCCCCTGGAACCCACACGAGGAGTAAGCATATCTGAAGTAAACAGAATATGTGCATCATCACAGTTTAACAGCTGAGAATACAGCAGCGTCCTGTATGGTCCGAAAATACCTGGAAAGAAGTCATACCTGAGCAGGTGGAGTCCTATTAGAAGGTCTGTCCCTGTAACGAGTTTCTGTGGACTCCTTATCACTGGATTCACTTGTAGTTCGGCTGTCTCTGCCTTCAGTATCACTGTCTTTACTCTGGTGCACATGGAAACAGAGAAACATTACAGGAAGACAAATTGAGGGAAACAATGCACCACGATCAACTGGCTACAATAATCTAACACTCCAATTCACAGATACATCTACATTAAACAAAGCAGAATTTCTTAGTCGTCTGAACATTCAAATGTTGAGTTATAATATCTGATCCCACACAAACATGAATACAATTTTTGGAACTCGCTGCCTCTACAATCTTAAGTTTTCATAAATTACAATCTACAGCATTTTTGTAACAGCAGGACAAACAAGAATACGAACACTACATGGTTGAAAATCAAAAAAACTGGTTTTTTTGTCTACCCTTTTACCTCAAAGGGAGCATAGACCTTCTTTAACCAACTCACACCAAGTCGTCCTATCCTTTGCCTTTAACCAACTCACACCAAGTCGTCCTATCCTTTGCCTTTAACCAACTCACACCAAGTCGTCCTATCCTTTGCTATCGCATGCAGCTCACTCCATGACATCCCCATCTGTACAAACTTCTCTCTCTAGATACTGCTACAATTAATGAGCAGAAGATCAAGACAACAGAGATCAGATGTCTTAGGAGAACTGCAGCTGTCACGAGAGATACAATTCAAACAGAAGAACTTGGAAGACTAGGGCTAGACCCAGCCAAACAATTCATTCAAGAACAAAAGGTGAACTGGTCTGGTCATTGTATGCCCAGGTACGAGCTGCTGCAGCCAAGAATCTTCAAGAACACAGAGCAAGAGGATCCCACAAATATGGAACGACGGCATTAAATCAACCTTTAAAATGGAAACTATTAGAAATGGTATGCCTAGGCCACAAATGCCAGCAGGGGGGGAAATCAATCATCATCATCAAGTGCCTTGACTGGTATGGGCGATCATGCCTCTCCACAACTGTGTGTATCAGTTTGCGTGTTGACACCTCTCCATGCCATGACAAAAGGCCGCCATGAATCTTCTTGCGCTGACTTCCTGTCTCTCTTTCCACACATTTTTTCTACTGGTCTTATCATTTTCCAGTTTCCCTCTTCCCATAACATGACCAACAAATGATGACTGTCTCTTTCTGATGTTTGTGATAAGTTGTCTTTGAGTATTCGCCTCTTTAAAAAAAATATAGGTTGATCTTTTTAGCTGTCCATTGAATTCTAAGGATTCATTTATAAAACTATATCTCTGAGGTCTGAAGAAATTGTTCAGTTATTAATCGTCCATGATCCACAGCCGTATGTTAAAACTGGCTCTTTACAGCATGCAATAATTCTTTTCCTAACCTCCATTGATATGTGATTTATTGGGACATAGTGTTAAAAAAAAGAAAACAGGATGTGTTCGCTCCACAGTGCAACACAAATGCAGGCAAAGACAAAGCCTGCAAGCTGGGATCAGAATCGGGAGCATCAGAATCAATATCTAGTTTTTCTAAACAGACCAGGCAAAGCAAGGCCTGCTGCATGAAAACAGTGGTAATTCTAGACAATCTTTAATAAAACACTGGAAAAACATGTAATTCTAGACATATCTAAAACACAGGTATTCTGACAATGCTAAAAGTTTCAAAGTTGTATTTCAAATCAGCTTTACAATTGCATAAAATCAACTTTTATAAAAAAGAAATATTACATTTTTTCTTTTTTTAATTTAAAAAAACATCACAACGCTTTCCTATACAGTTACACACACACACACACACACACACAATAATAGAATAAAACCTGTAACATATTGCTATACAGCAAACTCAGGAAAAGCTCAGACCAAACTTCCACATTTACCTACAGAAATGCAACTCAACAAACCAAATAAGGGCAGCAAACCAGGTTAAAACCGCAAACTTAACAAACCAAATGAAGACAGTAATGACAGTGCTCACTATCAGAAGTGTGTTTACATGTGATTGTTTTTGAGTTGTCTTCTACTTGTTGTTTTTTTTTCATACAAATTTGTCAAACGGAAATAAATGAACAAGCGAGCCTGTACACTGCCTCTGGATAAATTATTTATCATTCAATATTTATTTATTTATTAGTTCTGCAATTTATTTTTTCATTTACTATTCATTTATTAATTCACTAAAGTAGTGTCTGTGGCTTAGACATTGCGAGCCCGACTCAAAATACCAACATACTACAATCGAAACCCTCTGCTGGCTTGCGTGATTTTTATCATGGTACGGTTCGTCCCAGACTAAAATGGGTACCCGGATGAATGTCCTGGGGAATTAAATACGGCTGGCATAATGCTGACCACATTACCCACCTAGTGTCGATTGGTCTGTAAAAAATATGGGAGCTTTCCATATGCCTGATGCAACTAAAGGTGTGAAAAGGGATATTTCTTTAATTCCCTAAGTACACTTGTATTCGTACACACACGCACACATGAACGTGCGCACTCTCACACACTAACTTTCCTACAAGACACTACCAATGGTTCCCTGTGTGGGTTCCAGGACCCTATTATAGGGAAAACAAGAATAGACCCACTACCTACCCAAAAGTATGTCCAAAGAGTCTACCGATTTGGATCTTTCTTCGAAGTCGGAGTGCATCTGCCTGAGAAGCAAGGAAAAAGCAGTCTGCATACAAATGAGTCAGATCTGTGAAACGTGTGCATACGCAACACTCAGGTTCTGGAATAGGACTGCAGTCCAGAAGTGGATGAACAACCAGAGACCTTTCCGCCAGAGTTTACAGCTGGTAAACGTGAAGAATAAGAAGACTACCAATGGTGAAAAGATGAGGTCTTCCAAGTGGGTTACGGAACTCATTATGAGAGGGAAAATAACAGACCCACTGACCCTAACAAGCCCTTATGTTGTAAGAGGCAACCAATTAGAGGTTTGCTGAAATCAGATGTGTTTGGCAGAAAGGTTCAGATATAACTATAAATCACAACACAAAGTGCCAAATGCCATTCTAAGGGTGAATATATATAAAGACAACAACAGGATAAATACGTTGCCCAGTTTCCCATTAAATGGCTCATACTATATGCAGAACTGCAAACCACCCTCAAAAGTCTCACGTATAGCACTCTGTGGCTCCAGTGACCATATCTGGAGATTTCTATTTTAAAAAATGGCACTCAACCAAAGGTTTAGTAGGTGGGGGGAAAAAAGTCAGCCTTTTTCAAAAGTTGCTTTGATTTCTTTGATGGCAAGAATCACTTCAGAGGTCCTAGGTAATTCGCATCCTTTGGATATTTTCTCCGGGTTATGCTGGGGTGTAAGGAAATGAGCAGCCGACAGACGGCCTGTTATTTATCACTTGGTGGTGGATTGGTGTATGACAAGCTAGATGTTGCATGCGCTCCTTTTGGAGCGAGTGAACAGTGCAAAGGCACAAACAGATCAATACAGCCGGGAGAGAATTACGCTGCAATGAGTTAACAGGAAATCTGGGCGGCGCTTAACATTCAAGGGAAAGGCAAGAAGGATATATAATCAGAGAGCTACTGGTACCACTGCAACTGCAACTCTTCTTATGCTGCTGAAAATGCGGACAGAGCGCTAATGAGTGTTATGAGTGCTATGATGTCAATTCTTAATTCAAATTTTTTAAAGTTTTTGTAGTTTTTTAGTTTACATGAATCAGTGCACACCTTGTTCTGGTCACCCGTAAATGGCAAGTGGTGTGCTGTGTTGTGGTTTACACTAGTCCTTTAGTCCAACACTTATATTTAAACAAATTCCTAAATAGTTGCCTGTTAGGGGCCCCAGAATCCACACAGGCAATTAATTTTTTTAGAGAATTTGCAAAGAAGCGGCTCTAGAATGTACATATTACTTGAGACTGGTATTCAAATAAAATGGCGAGCTACAACCACCAAGCACTTGACAATGATGTACAGCACTTGATAACGGGGATAGTTTTAATATACAATCTTATAAACATAACAGTGACCACTTAACCTAAACAAAAAACTGATGGTCACTACAGTGTCCAAAGTTAAGTGTGTGTGCTGCTGTGGAAAATGCAACGAATGGAAAGAGCTACCAGCATTCCAAACATGTCTTTGCACAAACAGCAAACAATGCCTTACATCATCTTTCTTCTTTGTTCGCTCATTCAACTGCCTCAGCTTCTCAGCTGCAGCTGCTCTCTGCTCCGTCTCTTTTCTCTTTTCATTTTCCTCACGTCTCTGCCTCGCCCTCTCCACAGCATTGTTAATTTCCCCTTCGTTGGCTCGGCGCCTCATTCGCCAAATCTCGTCATCATCTTCGCCGGGTTTACGAGATGGCACAGCACCCGGGCTTGTCACAGGTGGCACTTGTGGGCCAAACGCTGGACGCTGAAACAAAAATTTTTCTCAAGAAATGTCTGTCTATGACTCACAAAATTTGCCATGCCACTTTCAGACAGACAGACATGCTATTTTGCACCCTGTGCGGCTATGTGGTTCAGAGGTCAGTGAATGCAAGGCCAGGATCCTTTGGCAGTAGTGTTGGATTCCTGCAGCGGACCGGATATAAAAAACAATGCTGTGGTTTTTTGACAGCAGTACAAGAGAGTTGCACAATGGAAGAGATCGCAGCCTCACTCGTGTGGGTTCCATGGCCGGATGGGGGGAGAGGGGGGAACAGGCACACTGCCTCCCTAACAAGCATGTTGCTAGTCTATTAATGAGGTAATCAGGTTCCCTTCTAGGTCACATCGTATCTGCCTAAAAAGCAAGGAACCTAGAATGCTTACAAATAAGCCAGATCTGTAAAATGGATGTGCACACAAAACTCAAGTGCTGGAATAAGAACAAAACCCACAAGTGGACTAATAATCAGAATTTTCTGCCTGAGTTTACAGCAAAGAAACATTGTTTCAAACAAGGACCATCACTTTAAGCCACAGCATTTGCAAGTCAACTTTCCCTTCTCATCCTCCACCTTACATCACAATCTGACTCTTCACAACTATCCTAACAGCTACAAGCAATCATATGTTCAAGCAAATCATACCATATGTGGTGGCGGTGGAGGTGGCATCCTGAATGGGTACGGTGCTCCTCTGGGACCCATAAACTCATACGGACGCATATGTGGTGGCCAGCCTCGCTAAAAACCAGTTAAATAAAGTCACAATAAGTTTTCAGCACAAATAAGCTCTAAAATATTTTCCCCGTAAAATCTTAGCAAGCAGGGTGTTCTCATGTGTGGAGCCAACAAACCCCCCCCCCCCTCCCTTTTCCCCCAAAACAATCCAAATATTCTGAGAGGAACTGAACATAACAAATACAACACTAAGCAGCAATGTGGTATAACCAAAAGTTGACCTCTCCACTACATTTGTGTTGACTGATTTCTCCGTTGAAATAGTTCTATATATAATTTCAAAATGCGGAGAATAATTTTTTGTAATTTATTAACTACCTGTTTTTTTTAAGACCCCCCCCCCCCCCCTCCCACTATTTTTTTTCTCTCAAAAGAACATATTTTGTCTCATAATAGAACAATAAACCTGGATTAACCTTGTTATGGGTATGTTAACAATAAACCTGGATTAACCTTGTTGTGGGTATGTTAACAATAAACCTGGATTAACCTTGTTATGGGTATCAGTTATCATAAAGTTAGCCGTGACACAAGGAAGAAATGTTACCTTATCTTAAAGTTAGCCACAAACACAGACAAAAATGTTGCCTTATCATAAAGTTGGCCACAAACAAGCCAAGGAAAAAAAATTGCCTTACATAAAGTTAGCTATAAACAACACGAGGAAAACAAAGTGCGCCACAAATTACAAAAGGAAGAAAAGTTTGCCTTACTTATATAGAGTAAGCCATAAACAAGAAAAAAAATGTTGCCTTAAAGTTAGTCATAAACAACACAAGAAAAAAAATCTTGCCTTAAAGTTAGTCATAAACAACACAAGAAAAAAAATGTTGCCTTAAAGTTAGTCATAAACAACACAAGAAAAAAAATGTTGCCTTACAGCGTCCATGCCAGGGTGAGGTGGCATTGGGCCTCCCCTGTAATGTGGTGGAGGAGGTCCAGGTGGCCAAGCATCCCGGACGATTGGTGGACCTTGATCATCCTAAAAAAATCATAACATTAAGTTGAACTAAACACAAATAACTTTGCTGCCCATTCGAGCATGCAGTAAGAGTAGACATATGAGACTGCCCATTCGAGCATGCAGTAAGAGTAGACATATGAGACTGCCCATTCAAGCATGCAGTAAGAGTAGACATATGAGACTGCCCATTCGAGCATGCAGTAAGAGTAGACAGATGAGACTGCCCATTCGAGCATGCAGTAAGAGTAGACATATGAGACTGCCCATTCGAGCATGCAGTAAGAGTAGACATATGAGACTGCCCATTCGAGCATGCAGTGAGCATGCAGTAAGAGTAGACATATGAGACTGCCCATTCGAGCATGCAGTAAGAGTAGACAGATGAGACTGCCCATTCGAGCATGCAGTAAGAGTAGACAGATGAGACTGCCCATTCGAGCATGCAGTAAGAGTAGACAGATGAGACTGCCCATACGAGCATGCAGTAAGAGTAGACAGATGAGACTGCCCATACGAGCATGCAGTAAGAGTAGACATATGAGACTGCCCATACGAGCATGCAGTAAGAGTAGACAGATGAGACTGCCCATTCGAGCATGCAGTAAGAGTAGACAGATGAGACTGCCCATACGAGCATGCAGTAAGAGTAGACATATGAGACTGCCCATTCGAGCATGCAGTAAGAGTAGACATATGAGACTGCCCATACGAGCATGCAGTAAGAATAGACATATGAGACTGCCCATTCGAGCATGCAGTAAGAGTAGACATATGAGACTGCCCATTCGAGCATGCAGTAAGAGTAAACAGATGAGACTGCCCATTCGAGCATGCAGTAAGAGTAGACATATGAGACTGCCCATTCGAGCATGCAGTAAGAGTAAACAGATGAGACTGCCCATTCGAGCATGCAGTAAGAGTAAACAGATGAGACTGCCCATTCGAGCATGCAGTAAGAGTAGACATATGAGACTGCCCATACGAGCATGCAGTAAGAGTAGACAGATGAGACTGCCCATTCGAGCATGCAGTAAGAGTAGACAGATGAGACTGCCCATTCGAGCATGGAGTAAGAGTAGACAGATGAGACTGCCCATTCGAGCATGCAGTAAGAGTAGACAGATGAGACTGCCCATTCGAGCATGCAGTAAGAGTAGACAGATGAGACTGCCCATACGAGCATGCAGTAAGAGTAGACAGATGAGACTGCCCATTCGAGCATGCAGTAAGAGTAGACAGATGAGACTGCCCATACGAGCATGCAGTAAGAGTAGACAGATGAGACTGCCCATACGAGCATGCAGTAAGAGTAGACAGATGAGACTGCCCATACGAGCATGCAGTAAGAGTAGACATATGAGACTGCCCATTCGAGCATGCAGTAAGAGTAGACAGATGAGACTGCCCATACGAGCATGCAGTAAGAGTAGACATATGAGACTGCCTATACGAGCATGCAGTAAGAGTGGACATATGAGACTGCCCATACGAGCATGCAGTAAGAGTAGACATATGAGACTGCCCATTCGAGCATGCAGTAAGAGTAGACAGATGAGACTGCCCATACGAGCATGCAGTAAGAGTAGACATATGAGACTGCCCATTCGAGCATGCAGTAAGAGTAGACAGATGAGACTGCCCATTCGAGCATGCAGTAAGAGTAAACAGATGAGACTGCCCATACGAGCATGCAGTAAGAGTAGACAGATGAGACTGCCCATTCGAGCATGCAGTAAGAGTAGACAGATGAGACTGCCCATTCAGCCCGTTTTACATTCTGTTGACAGATCACAACTGTGCTGTGACATGTGTCTAGCAACCATCAATTTCCCTTCTTTCCCTCCATCTCTCCTCTTAACACAACATACCCTGGTTTTTCTCTTCTCATAGTGTGCACCTGCAAGCGAGTTAAAGTAAAAAAACAAATCTGAGACCGTGCATCTTTCCCATGGCAACTATTTAATGTGGGCCACAGATTCTAATCTTTGAAGATAAAAACAAAATTTGTGGAATAGTGTGGAAAAGAAAAAAAGAACAACACAGGCATCCCATATGATGTGAAGAAGAGAACAGTTCATAAACAGCACCCTGTCCTGTAAAAGTAAAGGACCTTTTTCCACACCTTTAGGTGTAAAGGGCATCTAGGGCTAGACCTAGAGTTTTCAAGACCAGCTGGCACAAGATGGGTGATGTGGTCAGCATCACGCCAGCCACATTTATTTCCTGGGGCTGCACCCGGTACCCACTCAAGGCTGGGTCGACATGGGAGCCAAGATCTTTTTTTTAAAGTCCAGCTCAGCCAGGGGATAAACCCATGACCTTCAGATTCCCCAGGTGAGTCTAGCCTGCTCCGCCATGGCAACTCCCTCCCTGTCCTGTAAGCTGAAGTATTTTTGCCTTGTTAACCGTGTAGATGATAGTGTTAGATAGCAAAGTCTCTGACACTGAAGATGCATTGGTAATGAAAGCACACAGGTTGGAAAATAGGTTAAAGAAAGATTTCCAGGCATGCTGTCACAACAGCGACGTTCTGTGAAGGGCGAGCTCACTGATGATAATGGCAATGTGCGCAAAGAAAGTAAACTCTTTTTTTCTTCTTCTAATATTCAGGTAATCAATTTGTTCTGTTGGATAATTTCTTGTCAAGAGATTTTTCAATGTTTATTTTCACCTGTCCATATTCTCATGATCCTTCTATAAACAACACATCAGAAGCTTCCATCAAATTTCTCACCAATCAGGCTTTCAAAACAAATCAGTTTTCACAGAAACATACCCTATACTTTTCTTCTTTGCATTCCTTGTCTCTGTCGTAGTCTCCATCTCTCTGATGGTCTTCAGCGTCTCTTCTAGCTTGTCTCCGCCTGTCATCATGACGAGTTCGATCTCTATGTAGCAAACAAAATACAGAGGTTCAATCATAAATATGGGTACTTGTTCTTATCTCCCACTATCAGACAATCTTCCAATCTGTGCTATCTCCCAATCTTAAATAAAGATTTAAACAATTCAGACAGATCATTTTATATTCGTTCTGATAATGATTATACGAGCTATGCTGTCCAAAATGCAAAATTAAACAGAATTAACATAAAATAAAGGAAGAAGAGGAAGGATATATCGAGCGGGAACCTCCACAGAGCTAGAAAGCTGGTGCACTTTACTGAGAGGATTTTTTTTAGCAAAAATTGCAGATAGCAGAGTTGAGCACTTATGAAAGGTATTAATGTGCCACAAAGGTAGTCCTTGACTTCTGGTTGATTGCCTTTAAAAGGGCCAGTTGTCACAGTCTTGTGGTTTACAACTTCCACCTAAAACATGATTTTAGCACATTTCTTATAGGTCGCCTTTTACAACAATCTCTCTCTCTAGTTGTACCACACCTGGGCATCACACAAGCGATAAACATCCGGTAACACAAAGTGCCACCATGTGGATGAGGATCACCCGTGGAGAGGACCAGATATGGCCCAGCTATATTCAGGGCCCCCTGCAAAAGCCAGGGTGGGGCTTCAAATAACAAAAAATTGCATCACACATGAAGACTGGTAAATAAGTCATTTTACAACAATGAGGAGTCGGAACCCCCAGAGATCTTTTACAAAATTAGGACTAAAACAATGAACACAATTTCCAACCACAATAACAGTCAGTACACACCTTGGGCCTTTTGATTCATCTTCATCATCACTGAATACGAGTTTCTCACTGAAATGATGAAAAAAAACACAACAATTACAACATGGAGATGACATAAAAATCAACTTTAATTATTCATAACTGTTTTACAATAAATCAAAACACTAGTCATCAATAACACAGAACAGAGCATAATAAAATAACAGCTTGCTTCCTAAATCAAATGAAAAAAATATATTCAGAAATAACCCACCAAAACAGATAGTAAAGACAGGCTTTTAATGACAGTTTAACCCATCAAATCTGAAGATGATACTAAATACTGACTAAAAAGATGTGCAATGCAATATTTAATAATGCTCACTTTCTATAAAATCAACAATGTACAAAACTTTGAAATATAATATTAGTATTTTCGTCTGCAATTAACATTACTAAAAATAAATTGTATCTTGCTGAGATAAAAGTTGCCAACCAAAGCGATAACTAAACAAGTTTCAGTTGACCAAGAGGTGAAGAAAAGATCCTGGCATTCTCACACACTAAGAAAACCTGAGAACAATATAACTAGAATGTCTCTGCACCGGAATCCACAGGGGGACAGAAATCAAGGCAGACTAAATATATATGGAGAAGGCAGCTAGAGAGTGAAGTTAAAAAGGTCAAGAGAAAATAGGGGACAGCTGCATGCAACGGCCAAGAATAGAATGGTGTGTGTTGACTGAGGGGTCTATGCTCCACTAGGTGCTAGAAGACAAAAGAAGAAAAGTAAAATATATATTATGACACTCTATGTCTACAAAGTAACCTGCTCTCCTGTGTGGGTGTAGAAATTATACAAGATTACCAACGCCACCAGAAGATTTGATAGAAATGAAATGGGAGGCAGCAAAAGGTTGCAAACCTGTAGTCGATCTCTCCCTGAGGGCCAGCCCAGCCTCCTTCATGAGCATCTAACTTGAGCATTTCATCAAAGTCCTTGAGTGCCTTTTCAGACACAATGGCAGGTCTCTTTGTATTGTCTTCACCCTCTCCTGCATGTCTCTGGTGAGTCATCGATGGGGGTGGACCTCTGAATCTGAAACATTAAATACAAAGATCACAGCACTTGTAGCATTGTTTAACTGATGGTGACATATGAATCTGTCTCCACTGTGAATGTCAATAATTAGGAAAGTATGCACTGCACAACTTATTACCCAGTATATTTTGCTACATGTTATTAGGTACCACAATTTGGTTTTAGGAAAGGAGAAGGTTGCACAGATGCAGTATTTGCACTAAGACAAGTTTGAGAGAAAACCACTAAAAATAAAGATAAACCGAACATTGTGTCTGTAGATCAAGAAAAAAGCTTTTGATAGATTAGACAGAAACTAACCATGTATTATTCTTGAGGATTATGAGGTGCAAGGAAAGTTGCTAGATAACAGCATGGCCATGTACCAAACTTCAAAAAGCATAGTCAGCATGGCTCATATTCTTACAATCAATACAAGGTTGAGGCAGGGATGTGTGCTCTCTCCTCTTTTATTTACTATATACAGACAGAATATCAAAAGAAGCCAGCAGTTGACACAGAAAATGAGGAACTTTACTTCCCAGAGGAAGAATTAGATCCACGCACAATTAACGAGCTACTATTTACAAATGATCAGTGCCTGTTCTACAATGAGGAGAGTAGACTGCAAGAACATTTGAACTTGCTCAGTTCAACATGCAGAAGACACAATCTGAAAACAAATACTATTGAAGTGTAGGTCTAGAGTATTCCTAGTCCTCTACATGTTGGGCTAAATGGTGCTTGTCTGAAGCAAGTTGACAAAATTTAAATAACTAGGAAGTATATTCTCAGAGGATGAGAGAAACAATCAGGAAATTGAAGCAAGATGCCAAAAAGCCACTGCACTTGTATACCATCTGACACCATTAAGACATCCATCCAAATATAAGCGCCAAGAAACAGATATGCCAGCATATTCATACTAACAGTGTGCTACCAGCGGCAGACTTGGACATTATCAAAGTTTAACCTATATAAAATTAACACCTGTGAAATGCTATGCCTGAGAAAAGCCGCCAACTTAACCATCCGAGACATTATAAGACATACTGTAGAAGCAACGGCATGCAGCAAATTCACTGAGAAGATCAAATGGTTTGGTCATAAAGTAAGAATGCAGTCAGAATACCACCACCACTACACATAAAAAGATCTGAAGTTAAAAGCCCCCCCCCCCCCCCCCCCCCCCCCCCAAGCAGAAGATTGATTGATGACAAAGAGCCAACTTGACACGGAATGATAACAGCCATTGCTACCCATCAAGCAATGAATCATAAACTGTTCCTCCCTACAACAGTAAATGGCGTAAGTGGAAATTTATGATTACAGCAATTATTAGGTGCCTGTTAAAGAATCTTCATTCATGTGTATGACAAGCTGGATGTTATGAGGGCTCTTTGGGAGTAGTGAACAGTGCAGAGGCACAGATAGATCATTACGGTCTAAGAAGAATGGCACTGTGAGGAGTTACAAGGAGATCTGGTCGACACTCAACAATCAGGGAAACGGCAAGATGAGATGGATATACATTCAGTTACTGGTACCATCAGAATTTTACCTCTTGGCTTGCTTGATGGGGTGTCCCGAGTGCTGTGATGTTGTTTATTAATTCAACATTCTTCATATCATGAAGCAAAAAATGAATTCTTACTGCAATAAACAAACAGCAGTCGATTCTACGTAGTACATCTCATCATGGAAACATATTATTCTCTGGTTGAGATCATGATAAACTGCCAAATCTAATAACTCCAGCCTTTTGTATTTCCTTATATACTGATGTTGGTCTCTGAGGCAAAGGCGTTGCAAACGCGCTTTGTAATGCTGGGGTACTGGGTTTTATCCCAGCTATAAGTGATTTGGCAGCAGATCGTCTTGCATTGGGTTTGACAATGGTATCGAGGGTCCACTAATCTGAAAGCAATGGCAAACTATTGAACATTAATGTCTAGAAAAACAGTAACAGTGAAAAAAAATGCTGAGGTTGGTTCTGCAATGTCCTGTAAAGGATACGCAACTAAGTTTATATAATAAGATTTCTAGTGTGTCTCTGGCAATATACAATTAAATATGCCTAACAATAAACTGTGCAGTATTGCCTTTGTGTGACAAATTTTTTTTTTTTAGGTTGACCAAAAAAAAAAAAAAAGAAGCTCAGTAACTGAAACACAAAAAAGTGTGAAAAATTAGCAGAATAGCATGCAAGTTTGATAAAGACGGCTCAAAATGACATGACTGAAACCACAACAAACCTTGGGTCATGTGGGAAAGGATTACGTGGAAATCCGGGAAAATTGGGTGGATAACTCCCTGGTGGAAGCCTACCAAACATCTGTGTGAAAGAAACAAATAAGACAGGCATCAATGCAATGTATACAGTTATGTCTACACAGTATTAGAGAGGCAAGCATGTGGCTGGATTCTCACTTCACAGAGGTCTGGGAAACACCTAACCCAATCCTGCTCAATCAGATATGGATAAACTGTGTTGGTTTACGGCAATACCTATTAGTCACTGCACAACAATAATAGTCTACTTCATCATCTTCACATTCAACAGCAGTAAATTTTGGTGGACAATGCTGGTTGTTCGTCTAATTCTGGACTTTAGTCTTGCATGCAAATCCATTTTACAGATCTGGCTTTGTAAGCAGGCGGCTGGTCTCACGCCTCAGGCAGATGCACTCCGACTTTAAAGAAAACACCCCTAATTAGTTTTATGTATTTTTATCCCCCCCCCCCCCCCACCATCATCAAATGGGGCCTCAGAACCCACACAGGAAGCAATAATAGTTAATTAAATCGTTTGTTACCACAGGACAGTTACTTGGTACCCAAAAATTAATTTTTTCAACTGTGACACTGAAGAGTGGTAATAATATTGAAAAACCAGTGCAACCAAAAACAACTGTTTAAAAAATATCAGCACAGAGTGAGAACTAATCAGCAAAAAGTGGCAAATACTGTGGCACGTAATTTCCTATAATCTTATTAAAGAGTGCCAGCGTAATGCCGACCACATTACCCACCTAGTGCCGATTGGTGCTCTTCCCATTTGCCCGATGCACCTAAAGGCATGAAAAGGGATCTTTACTTATTAAAGAGTAATGTGTGTTATAAAACCTAAAGGGTCAGGACTGGGGGGGAACACCCAGACTGTGCTGCTAGGGAACAGCATTACAGCAGTACAAACATCTGCTCACAATCATATAATATTGTAATCCGCAATACTCATTGGATTGCTAGATGATAGGACATTACAGCAAGTTATAGATAAATTCATGCTCAATTATTTAGTGCTGTCTTTGTTTCATTTTTCAGACATGTCATGAAGCTTATTTGTGGCAATAAACAGGATACTGTTCCTATTTGGTAACTAGAGTAGTACACACAAACATTTGCTCAGAATCATATAATATTGTAATCAGCAATACTCAGTGGATTGACAGACGACGGTACATTACAGCAAGATTATTTATTTATTTATATAATGAATTAGTGCAGCCACTGTTTCAACTTTCAGACATTTAGACTTAATGAAGATTACATACAACAATGAAACAGCTCACTGTTCCTTGGTAACTACAGCAGTACATACAAACACTTGCTCAGAATCATATAATATTGTAATCAGCAATAATCAGTGGATTGACAGATGATGGTACATCACAGCAAGATTATTTATTTATATAACGAGTTAGTGCAGCCCTCGTTTCAACTTTCAGACATTTAGACTCAATGAAGATTACATACAACAATGAAACAGCATTCTGTTCCTTGTTGGTAACTACAGCAGTACACACAAACACTTGCTCAGAATCATATAATATTGTAATCAGCAATACTCATTGGATTGACAGATGATGGCACATCACAGCAAGATTATTTATATAATGAGTTGGTGCAGCCCTAGTTTACAGTTTCAGACAATAAGACTCAACAAAGATTACATACAACAATAAAACAGTATACTGTTCCTTGTTGATAACTACAGCAGTACAAACAAATACTTGCTCAGAATCATATAATATTGTAATCAGCAATAATCAGTGGATTGACAGACGACGGTACATCACAGCAAGTTACGCACACTGATTATATATATAAAGATTTAGTGAACCCTTAGTTTCAACTTTCACACATGTAGACTTAACAACTCTTTGAGTCCCAAGGAACGCATCATACGTTCATAGGTTCCTACATAGAGACCCAATAAACGCAAGATGCGCCGATTTTATATCTCTTTTCACTACCCCTTGGGCCTCTGATGCTAAACCCCTTGGGACTCAAAGAGTTAATGAAGATTACATTCAACAATAAAACAGTAATCTGGTAATCCTAGTTTCAGCTTCATATCATAACAAACGGGTCACCCCACAGCTGCTCCGCTCCTGTGCCAACGAAAAACAAATGCAGCTCACAGTGTCACGCCATGCACTCAACTAAGAAGCTGGGCGACGAAACTACATCCTTCCAGTCTACAAATGGAGCAAAAATGTAACGGCCACCGTCTGGCAGGAAAAAAAAGCATTTGCCACGGCTTTAAAAAAAAGGTGGCCGTGCCTAGCGTCCATTCTGACCGGAAGCATTATATGAGGGTTAATAAACGGTCACCCCAGCAGTACCCTCATTTTTAGCTGGGGAAGGGACTTAGGACATTACATCCACCAGCAGGTGTCGCCCCTAAAACGACCAGCCTGCCATCGTTAACGACTGTTCACCCAACAGCCATGCAGTTCTTTGGCACGAAGGAGACACCTTAAACTTGGGTTTCGGACTGCCGACTCCCTACTAAGATGTTATTTTATGTTTTGTTATCACAATTGATGTCACTGCACATTGGGCATACCCATGCGTGCTCAGTTCTCCGAAGCAGCAGCCACTCTAAAGTACTTCTACTAATTGTCCCCATAAGAAGCTGGTTGAAACAGTATACTGTTCCTTGTTAGCAACTACAGCAGTACATACAAACACTTGCTCAGAATCATATAATATTGTAATCAGCAAAAATCAGTGGATTGACAGATGATGGTACATCACAGCAAGATTAATTATATAGTGAGTTAGTGCAGCCATAGTTTAAAGTTTCAGACATTTAGACTCAATGAAGATTACATAGAACAATGAAACAGTATACTGTTCTTTGTTGGTAACTACAGCAGTACATACAAGCACTTGCTCAGAATCATATAATATTGTAATCAGCAATAATCAGTGGATTGACAGATGATGGTACATCACAGCAAGATTATTTATATAATGAGTTAGTGCAGCCATAGTTTAAAGTTTCAGACATTCAGACTCACCAAAGATTACATACAACAATGAAATAGTATATTCTTCCTTGCTAGCAACTACAGCAGTACACACAAACACTTGCTCAGAATCATATAATATTGTAATCAGCAATAATCAGTGGATTGACAGATGATGGTACATCACAGCAAGATTAATTATTTATATAACGAGTTAGTGCAGCCCTCGTTTCAACTTTCAGACATTTAGACTCAATGAAGAATACATACAACAATTAAACAGCATTCTGTTCCTTGTTGGTAACTACAGCAGTACACACAAACACTTGCTCAGAATCATATAATATTGTAATCAGCAATACTCAGTGGATTGACAGATGATGGTACATCACAGCAAGATTATTTATATAATGAGTTGGTGCAGCCCTAGTTTACAGTTTCAGACAATAAGACTCAACAAAGATTACATACAACAATAAAACAGTATACTGTTCCTTGTTGATAACTACAGCAGTACAAACAAATACTTGCTCAGAATCATATAATATTGTAATCAGCAATAATCAGTGGATTGACAGACGACGGTACATCACAGCAAGTTACGCACACTGATTATATATATAAAGATTTAGTGAACCCTTAGTTTCAACTTTCACACATGTAGACTTAACAACTCTTTGAGTCCCAAGGAACGCATCATATGTTCATAGGTTCCTACATAGAGACCCAATAAACACAAGATGCGCCGATTTTACATCTCTTTTGACTACCCCTTGGGCCTCTGATGCTAAACCCCTTGGGACTCAAAGAGTTAATGAAGATTACATTCAACAATAAAACAGTAATCTGGTATTCCTAGTTTCAGCTTCATAACAAACGGGTCACCCCACAGCTGCTCCACTCCTGTGCCAACGAAAAACAAATGCAGCTCACAGTGTCACGCCATGCACTCAACTAAGAAGCTGGGCGACGAAACTACATCCTTCCAGTCTACAAATGGAGCAAAAATGCAACGGCCACCGTCTGGCAGGGAAAAAAAGCATTTGCCACGGCTTTAAAAAAAGGTGGCCGTGCCTAGCGTCCATTCTGACCGGAAGCATTATATGAGGGTTAATAAACGGTCACCCCAGCAGTACCCTCATTTTTAGCTGGGGAAGGGACTTAGGACATTACATCCACCAGCAGGTGTCGCCCCTAAAACGACCAGCCTGCCATCGTTAACGACTGTTCACCCAACAGCCATGCAGTTCTTTGGCACGAAGGAGACACCTTAAACTTGGGTTTCGGACTGCCGACTCCCTACTAAGATGTTATTTTATGTTTTGTTATCACAATTGATGTCACTGCACATTGGGCATACCCATGCGTGCTCAGTTCTCCGAAGCAGCAGCCACTCTAAAGTACTTCTACTAATTGTCCCCATAAGAAGCTGGTTGAAACAGTATACTGTTCCTTGTTAGCAACTACAGCAGTACATACAAACACTTGCTCAGAATCATATAATACTGTAATCAGCAATAATCAGTGGATTGACAGATGATGGTACATCACAGCAAGATTATTTATATAATGAGTTAGTGCAGCCATAGTTTACAGTTTCAGACAATAAGACTCAACAAAGATTACATACAACTATGAAACAGTATACTGTTCCTTGTTAGCAACTACAGCAGTACATACAAACACTTGCTCAGAATCATATAATATTGTAATCAGCAATACTCATTGGATTGACAGATGATGGTACATCACAGCAGGTTATAGATAAATTTATGCTCAATTATTAAGTGCTACCTTTGTTTCAACTTTCAGACATGCAGACTAGTCAGATGGTGGTACATCACAGCAAGATTATTTATTTATATAAAGAGTTAGTGCAGCCATCGTTTTAACTTTCGGACATTTAGACTCCATGAAGATTACATAGAACAATGAAACAGTATACTGTTCTTTGTTGGTAACTACAGCTGTACACACAAACACTTTGCTCAGAATCATATAATATTGTAATCAGCAATAATCAGTGGATTGACAGATGATGGTACATCACAGCAAGATTATTTATATAATGAGTTAG